TGAGTTGCAATTTTGTGTTTAAGTACTTTTATCTCCAGGCTACAATATCATGTCTTTCCATAAGTAATTTCCTTTTTGAAGCGAAAATTCAACTAAGTTGTAACCTACTCTAAGTTTCTAAGATCACCACGAAGATTTTGTGTTATGTTTCAATTCTGCTAAGTTTCCTCCAGGTCAGCGCCTCTTTCTTGACGACATACTTGTATATTTCGGCCAATGAAAATCATCTAATATCTTTTGTATCCTGTTGAAGTATTTTCTTGGCGTGGAAATGGATTTTTCACGTTGTGTGTTAATCGTGTTTTTTTAGATATATTTCTGAAACAAAAAAAAAGGTTTTTTTAATACAGTTGCTCAAAAAGTGGCGTATTGCAGGGACGTATAGCGTTCGGGATGTGGGCTATTACACACTCGTGCTTTTTTTTACCTTTTCCGAACTAGTGCGTTTTCTTTCCCAACTGTCAAAATAATGTCTATTAAAAAGAAAAAACCAACCACGAAGTTTATACTAAAAAAATTCATAGAAATTTTTATGATTCATGCAAATATTTCTAAAAAGAAGCTACTGCTTTGTTTCAATATAAGATTTAATGATTTGATTCAATGAGTTAGATTAGATTTTATTTCATCTCCTTAAATTTCATTTCATATCAATAAAAAATTGTACTGAAGACTTGGCTGTATGGGCATAGTTCCCTTTCCCTACCCAGAATGGGTGAAGAAAAAAAAAATCAGCTTATATTCTTTTACGGTTGGCGCCATTTTCCAAAAATGTTCTTTGCGCGTTTAGTTGTTTGTTATATTATATATTAAATATACATGAAAAATCATACGAAATAAATAATAGTTTGTCTCAAACAGTAAATAAATATGCAACCTAAAACTTCTCCAGTTAGTATAAAAACTGTACCAATGTATATGTGAACAATAATTTGTACAAGAAATAAATGATTAGTGAGTTGAGTTTATTGTTTTTTTAATATTTTATTAAATTGCATAAATTTTTTCGCAACTGTATTAAAAATAGTTGTTCAGTACACGTGGGGAACCGTCATTGCAACTTGTTCCGACTGTCAACCCTCACCTAGATATTTGTCGAAACTCTTTGCAATGACAGGCTTTCCGCACTTGTAATGAAATATACTATTTTATTCATAAAACCCCATTATCTTTATTCAACATTATCTTTATGAAATAGTGGATTTATCTACTGTAATGTTTGCATACTTTAAATTCAACTTAGCCTGTTTGTTCAGTAAACCACCGTATTCGTGGTGATCTGATAAAATTGGGTAAAGTGAACAATGGTAACTCTGTTTTACATACCTGTCATGGAAGTCATAGACGAATGTTTGCAAATTAAATTAAATGGGCATTTTGATATTTTTCGTCTACACAAAAAGTACGCACTGATAAATCAATATTTCTTCTGGAATTCTATTCGACATGATTTAATAGGAAATATAAAATAATAAAAAACTGCGTGCGTACAAAGTACACATGTGAGTACAATAAATTATTTTGCATTAAAATATAAAATACTAATATTTCATAAATTCTCTTTACGTAATTTTAATTTTAAAAATAGAATTTCTAGAAGGTGATCGCCCTTCTCACTCTCTCTCAATCGGTATCTTCCTTTTCTTCGACAAAAACGCTGCACATCTTCGTGACGCTAGTATTATTATTGCGTTTAATTCGTAAAAAAATTACCCTCATGTACCTAAAGAAGTTTCACTTCAAAAACGCAAGGAGCTTCGCACGATGACTGAGCAGCCAACTTACAGGAATGCCACAGTGTCCACGGTCAGAGAATTTTTTAATGAAATCTCGCGGTTAGCCTGTAGGACCTTGACAGCTCAGCTCGGGCTGTTTTGGCGAGCGTAGCTATGCCCGAACTGTGAACGGAATATTTATACTTAATCGTATTCAGAAAGGTTTTTGTCAAACTTTGCTACGCCTCGCTTCTATTGTTTTTAGTATTATTAAAGAGAAAACTTTTATTACTAATCTAAACTTTTATAAAAATCTATACATCGCATAAACATATTCAAACATTATAATGTCATCTGAAATCATTTAAATTTAAAAAGTAGTTTGGGGGGCCTCATAGCCTAGCGGTCTTATTAAGTGGCAGCTAGGTGAGGGGTACCGGGTTCGATTCCCGGTACGAGGGCAAGTTTTAATTTAATTTAAAATTTGTTCTCGGCCTTTGGGAGGGTTGTGCGGTACCGGGAGAGTGCTTAAACCGTACATGGAGGACACGGACGAAAAAAAAAAAGACAAGCACGAATTATAAAAAAATCCTATTCTTGACGCTGGCTAATGCGCAAATCGTGCCAGAGCCATTAAAAAAAAATAGTTTGTTTAATATTTAAAACTTATAAGCATGTAAATTCATTTAGCCTAAAGTGAAGTTCGTTGGTGGTTGTTGGATATGCTTAAATCGCGTTTGATCGCGTCACGGTATTCCCATTCGATTTTAGAAATAGGTCACCGATATTCCGATAATATTCCACGGTCCGTAATTTTAAGAAGACTTTTAGTGACGCGATCATACAGACTGCGCCAGTTAAGTTCGATGGCGGTTTTTGTTTGGAGATGTTTAAATAAAACTCTTTGTTTGAAGCAGGGTAACAACTGACTTTAATTGTTTAAAATATGACCTTAAAACTAATACAAAATTAGGGGTATAGGGGTCGCGGGGAGGCGGTTGCATCGCTAACAAAAACAATCATGGCTTCTTCTTTCTATCCGGTACACTCTTGACAGAGGGGTCGTGATCGCTATGAAGTAGAGGTAATAGAAGGAGTTTGTCCCCTATCAGAAGGAGGCATGGTGAAATAGGAGCACGCACTTACATTCTCGTGGGTAAGTTATCTACCATGCTGTTAAATTATATTATATTTTACTTACGGTTAATAAGTGTAAGTGAAATTACTATTATTAAATGTCAAAATCGTAAATAACAATACCTAAAACATTGTAATACAACGTAAAACAATCATATCTTTATCATGATAGATATGTTATAATCTATAATATTATCATAATAATTACTCATAAATAATGTATTTTTGTAATTTGCTTTTCCCCGTGACCTCGTTCGCGTGAACTTTCATGAGAACTATATTCACAAATATTTATGCACATTAAAAAATAACTAGCGTTTTTACAGACTATAGGTGAATTGTTGTAATTATACTTAATATAATCTTATCTGTACATCTATATATAGATATATAAATATTATGTTGGTTGCTTCAAAAACTCAAAAAGTTCTGCACCAATCGAGCTGAAATTTTAGCATGATATATAATCCGCATCAAGGATTGCTTTTTTTTCCACAAGTACCTATTGCAAAATTAAACTTATATGGAATGTATTCTTTGTTTTGTTTCTCATTTCTCAACCATTCAATCACAATGTGCCACAGCGAAGCGTGGCAGGGTACAGCTAGTAATATATAATTATTAAAATTAAATACTGAAATGAAAAATTAAATAGTTTGGTTAATAGTTGGTTCGTTGTAATGCAATGCTTAAAGTTGTTACTCGTTATAAGGCGTCAACTTAAATTTTTAATGAGCGCCTGTGCTCTTGAACTCCCAGAACTCTAAAGAGAACGATATCAAAGATCCTCTTGTTTTTGATTGTAGATTATTGAGAAAAAACATGTTTAAGCTCTATTGATATAAAATGGAACAGAACAGAATAAAATGAGACTGAATAAGACAGAAGGAGACAGAAAATAACAAATCTTGATAGAATTCGGTTAAATAAAAATTACTTAAATTTCCTAATACTTTTATTAAGTACTCTAATTTTTTATAAGGCAGATACATTGTATATGAATTGCATATTATAATTTTTAGATAATCAACCTTTGTGCTTCTAACCGGAAATATTTTCTTCGTTAGAAGTTTATGACTATATTATATCTTTGCAACGACCTCTTAAAATAGGAAAGGATAGAAAAATGGCACATTTTCACAGTCGAAATTTAGCGCTTTTTGGCTTCCGTGTATCAAAATTGTTTCGGACTTGACTTCATATCACCATAATATGACACTATTCACGATAAAATAAAAAGAATAAAATATTTGTTTTATGTATTAATTTTTATTATTCATTAACAGACATAAATGGTACATACTAATAATTTTTTTAACCTACAAAGTAATAATAAAAAGAATTAAAAATAAATAAAATGAAAATCAAAACAAATTTAAAAGTTTGGTCCCTGTGGCAGTGTACCTTTAACGCTGGCAGCATTTCCTCGCTGTATTGATCGCATTAATAATATAAGTATAAGTATCGACTTATACTTATATTATATTATTAATCTTCACACTTTTGCTTAGCTTGCTTATAGGTAATATTTTTATACTAAGATAAGAAAGTGGCTATATTTCATGTCACAAATAATTTTTGATTTTTCATAATATTGATGATGTTTATTTTCAGGTCTATTAAATTTTCAGACAAATATTAATTTTATTTTGTGTTCGTTTAATTTCCAAATAAATCATTCTTGCCAAGGTTTTTAGCGTCGCATTTAGGATAGTTAATTTTAAGTTAACGTTTTGAGATTTTAATAAGTACACCAAACATTAAATCTGAATCTAAAAACGGAATTTCAAATGCTCCAATAAACCGACTTAATTCACTAATGGTGATACAATTTTACGTGAATCACTACAACATAAGATGCAGTTCTCCAATGGCCTGAACACTGTTTGCGAAATATCAAATTCTATTTTATTTACCTATATATATAGCTATAGATAAAAATTAAATGCAAAATATATTGCTAAGCGTAAAAGTCCAAGAAGGCGACGAAATCGTGTTTTAAAAAAAAAAAATATCGAGAATTTTATCTAAATAATAAATTGTAAATTATTCAAAAACATATTATATCTTTATTAATTAGATAGGTATTTATGTTAAATATAGATCATTAGTATGAAAAGACCTCTCACTTTAGATTATATTAAATATTTAGTACGTATACAAAATAATTGCAAGTACACTAAGCAGATTTAAGGTAGACATTTTGACATTATTAGCACTGTTAGCACTGTTCATGTATCCGAATCGCTTAGCTTGGAAAATAAGGTCTACTAAAGAGTCCAATACTTCTTCGCTGTTGGGAATGATTTGATCAGCTGGGAGGAGGAAGCCATATTGTCCTTTGTCACGGAACTCATAGCAATATACAAGAGGAATGTTCAGAGCTTCTTTGACCCAGTCGATGCTTCCACCCGTTGCAAGATCTAAAACAAATTCTATTTAATGCTTTGCTTGCAGTAAATCAGGGAAAATTACTATTGCAGTTTATTCTATTTCGTTAGTAGATGGTTAATAATTGTTTACGCCATCCAGGTACCTATAATCCTCTCTGGTCACATTTTCTGTCCAACCGACCTTACCTTATACCACCTGCTTGGAAGAGGAAGAGACCATTCTACACATTTTTTTCTATTTATTTAAGAGTATTTATTAATTATTAAAGTATATAATAAATGTGCTTATAATAGATGACAAAGTATATCATGGTTGTGATGGTATGGTACCTAAATCCATTATTACGATAAGTAAATGAGTATAATATAGTACCACATATATACATCATTTCAAGTTAATTAGCAAGCTTTAATTTTGATTTAAATATTGTCGAGCACCGGCTTCTTAAAAAAATTTTGACGTGACAACGTCTAATAAAATGATGAACGCCGGCTGCATGCACGAAAAAGTATGACACATTGTCCCGTTACGCTCACTGTACGCTTGCGCCGCATCTACTCTCTTTCACTCATTGGCCTATGCGTCCGCGGATTCACTTCTTCGTATCCATACAAAATAGTGATAATTTAATAAAAAATCATTTCATTGCCTTAAACTATCGTCTGTAAACGGACTTTACAGACAATATTTTTTATTTGAATGCCTTTTCTTTATTTTATTTATATTAACTACTTGAGTAGGTGACATGACTGTGATTGGGTCACGTGTAGTTAAATAACTTTTACTTACATATGGCCTCAGCGATGTTTCCTGTTACGTACTGAGTTCCATATCTGACTGACAAGGCGCCCATAGCTCTTCTTCCTATGTTCATCTGAAAGAAAAGAGAATATAAAAGACATTAAGCATTGACACATATTTAGATAAAATTTTGCTAATCTAATATTGGCGAGTTAAACTAAGATATCTATCAAAGACTAACTCAAAATATATTTATTTGTTTATGTCTTTCTGTACTCATAAGCGTCTAAAATATGGCTATTCATTGACATCAACTGATCCACTTCAGCCAGCACAGCCAGTTCTGAAATCAAGGTCGTGGAAAGGACAATAAGAACTGAAAAGTCACTTTTCGATACTATTTAATTCGCCATATTATATTCTATTTTTAGGATAACTTAATATATACGTACGGCATCATTATAATTTGCATAACCCTGTGTAGAATTTCCGAATGGCAACAGTAACAGCTGACTGAAAGAATGCATTGATAGATACAAATCAATCTGCCCACTAAGAGATCGTATATATTCTGATAAAGTTCTTGTTTCCACCTCAGAAAATGGACCATTGCCGGCATATATGTCGGTAGATGGATCCATACTGGATCCGTGAACTGCAACAACAGATGATCACGATTTAATTTAACAATTTTAATGATTTCTTAATAGTAAGGCTAGAAAAGTATTGAACTATATCATCAAAAGTCAATATAATTATAAAATCCATAAATTACTTAAGTACTAATATAGGGTAAGTAATACATATAAGTTTTAATGAAATAAAATATGGTGGAAGAAGTTTGAGAAGTTAGTAAAAAAATTTTTTGTATCTATTTTTGTTAAACATTTCTATAAGATGTGAATGAATAAATGCTTTATTAATCTTAATACATATGAGTTTATTAATATTTATAATCTTACGGAACCAATTGCTGTTCCAGTTTCTGTTTAAATCCACACCAAATTCTGAACGAATTGGTCTTCTGTTTTTACGCCACATTCTGAACTAAAAAAGGACTTCGGTTTATATAAAGTATTTAAGTGAAATATTGACATTGTTTAAAATATTTTTTACCTCATCGTGGCTCCAGACATATCCGTCTGGATTTGTTACGGGGAAAATGTACCAATCAAATTCTCTAGCAATCGCTTTAATATCTTCATTATTACTTCTTAGTAATCGATCAATTATGTAGTTCGTTGTTGCTATTGTGATCCATTCTCTTGCATGTATACCGCTTTCAATGAAAATCGCTCTCTTTCCACTTCCGTGAGATATTTTGACTCCTCTTATTTGTCTGCCTTCGTAGGTTTCACCTCCAACTATGATTGTAGCTACATCAGAATACCTTGCAACTAAATCGTCTAACCAATTATTGATTTGATCCAGTGTATAGTAACTATCCCATCTCATTGACCTGAGATTTCTGCTAGTATACGTTCCTAGATTCTCCTTATTAATAGCTCTGTAATAATGTTCTTCATTATTTAATATCAAAGTATCTTGCTTGTTATGGTTACTTACGAAGCCCCTCACCCTCTTAGTAGTCATAGAACAGACATACTTCTGCAGCTTGTTTTTGCTTGACTATTCTAGTTGATGTTTAGTTTGCGGCCTTCCCGCAAATTATTGTTTTGCCAGAAAACAAACTGGAAATCTCTGGATTAAACAAGTTGTACCACACCATTTTAATCTTTATCATCAGTAATTATTAAAAATATTACTTACTCTTGTACGTTGGACATCGATACAGTAAATTTTATTCCATTATCATTAAGAATAACCTCCAGATCATTCTTATGTTCTGGACTAGACATAACATTCACAAAGTCTAAAATGGGAGCCGGATTTGTCCAGAAATCATATCTTCGATCATTTTCTTGTATATTACGAAGTACTTGAATATCGTTTGCATTTTCAGGTAATATTTTATACAATGTATAGTTATCAAACTTGAATTTTGCACTTATTAAAGTAAATGTCAGAAAAAACACAATATTCCTGATCATATTGATATTAATCCAGTCACGGACAAACTGAATGTTATTGATAACAACCTTAGTGTAACTGTTTATCGGTATTAATAATCTAATTGTAAATTGAGTAAGTTTAAGATAAAACTAATGAAATTAATACCGGTTCTTATCTATATAATTGACGGCGTAGTAATCTAGATATGAGTTACCTTAGGATAAAATGAAGACATATTTAGTTTTACTATACGTATTTATTTAGTATTTTAATAACAATTTTCGTTTTGTATTAGTCTGGTATGTACTTCACTATTACAGTAAACATCCTTATAACACGGTACTCCTATAACGCATTTTCATATTTCGCGATTTCAGTCCCTCGTATAACGGGTATTCCCCATATAACGCGGGGACTGCACACGTTAAATTTCTGAATGTCACTGAAATTTATTATGATTTGTACGCACATATTACGTTCAAACGTGAATCATTCTACATAACGCGTTATATGGGGCGCATATCTTACAAGCGCGAGAATACTTCAACAATGTGTTTTCTATAACGTGGAACCAATCAACCGTGTTGTATGAGTGATGACTTTACATTCAATTTTATAATTTATAGTAGAGAACTTATTTACTTCTGAAACAAACAACTAACTTTTTTTTAATTTTGTGTCTGTTGTCTTGATTATTTATCAATAGACAAGTACGTGAACCTTCTTTGCATTTGTCATATCGATTCTAAAATCTACTTGGTCCTAAGACCAAGACATCAATTTGCATACGATGTTTCCTTCATTGTTGAATCGTTAGTTAGTTTAAGTGTTAACTTCAGACGTATTAATAAAAATCTACTTTGCCCAGGTTTCAATGACATCAACGTTGAGAATCGTTCATTTAACCACTACGCTAAACTAAGTTCATTTATTTTTTCCTCCTGTTTAAAATTATTTATATATTTACTTATATATATCTTATTTAGCGAATTCATTATAAAAATATAGATCGTTACAGAGACCGTGTTAAGCACTCGCAACCTCTTTGTTGAAGTAAAGTAAAGTAAAAGATCCTTTATTCATCTAGGTAACATAATTTACACTTATGACTCGTCAGTAAAGAAATAAATATTAATGCTTCTAATTACATTTAATGCCATGTTCTCAAATAACGGTTTAGAACGGAGAGTAGAACTGGGATCTTAAGGGCATTATGTCCCAAATTCGTTCTGCCCCTAGGTACAGCAAATAACCTTCGTTTCAAACTTATCCGTTTGGTATCAAGCTAAAACTTTAACAACGTAGGGAAGCTGTAACTCCCGTTGGGTTTTTAGCTTGTCGTTGTATATAACCGTGTTAATTTATTCTTAATGCGCTTCAACATGAGACAGTACTTCTTCTCATGCGGTAAGGTACGATATGTTTTAGTCTATAAACTGAAATCTATAAATGAAACAACTTATTCACTTGTTATCTTTATTCTACAAAACTTTAGCTAACTTCGCCTCTCGAATAACAGACATAACAGAATCATATGTCTCTTCACAAGTTGGCTGCACCTGTCCAACTGGTAGAAGATAACCCCAAGCACCATTGTCACGTAGTGCATATGTCGCTACAATTGGTGGGTTAAAGCGAAATTTAACCCAATCACCAATTACACCAGTGGCGCCATCTGTTGAAAGACACGTATTACAAAAAAATATTAACGTAAGTGAATTTTCAATATGGTATGACGGGGCACAACAATTAATAACGCTGGATATAAACATACCTAAACATAACAATCAAATAAACAGTATTATTTAGTAGTCGTATTACGTAGTAATACGCAATAAAAAACAATTAACAAATTTAAAAAGTTTGATCTCTGTGGCAGTGTACGTTTTAACGCTGGCAGCATTTCCTCGCTGCATTTCGATACTTATTTGTTGAGCGAGGAAAGCACCAGCTTTGGAGTCAACTACTACCAGGCGCCAACTTAAATGTTTAATCGAAGTTGGAGGAAAGACTCTTATATTTGAGCCGTTTATTATTTTCCGCCTGCTCTGCGGCAGTTCCAGCTTTTTTGTTTGTCCGAGGGAGGAAAGACGGGGCAAACGTGTCCACACAAGTAGAATCCTATACCAAAGCCCGTCACATCTTCCAACGATCAACGACATCACTAACTAATTAATTAGTTGTGGTCAATCAATGTTGAATCTTTCTTTCGTTCTAAAACCTAGGTTTTAGCGTAGTGAAGGGGCGATAAATTAAATAAAAAGGAAAATAATTAAAAACATTACCAAATACATCTCTAGATGTGCCAACTCTGTATTGTGTGTCGTACCGAACAGCGAGAGCTCCCATCGCTCGTCTACCAATCTTTATCTAAAAAACATAAAGTTCAACAACCTATCCTATAATGAATGCTTCTGAAATGATCTTCTTCTGAATGAAAAAATTTTCATAGTGATGTAAATAGTATATTATAATCTTTGGTAATCTTACGGAATTTTTTAAAATGATTTCGTAATTTTCGTTGAATGGTGATGTCCAGAAATGTGTCTGTCATTGGGCGGTTACAGGACTTGTAATTTATATGATATTCATTTTCAAAATATGCTAATCCTGAAGTTTTTGTTGCGTTGAAAATGCACCAATGTTTAAATTTGCATAAAATGCGTATGCGTGACTGTAAACTTTTAATTAATTATTCACATATTTATATTATCAGAAAAACTAAATATTTCGTACCATTATTTCGTGATCTGAGACAGGATAAGCTGGAATTACAAATCTTTGTCCAAAACCTCTAAATGATAACAAAGCTATGAGATTTCGAGATATTCCTTCAATGTATCTAGACATCGCTCTAGTTTCAGGCTCGGAAAATGGTCCGAGACCCACATAATTTTGGTCTGCTGGTCTGAAACTGCCGCCAGTTACTGAAACGAAAATATTTAAGATCAGAAGAACAGCGAGACTTCATTGTCGATTGTGGAGTTTTATTTGTAACGCACACACATAAAACTCCGCTAACACAATGTCATAGTTGCTCATTGATATACAAAAACCCAAGATGCACAATCAACGTCTAATCGAAAACGTCCTCAAAAAATCAGCGCAACATTCTAAATTGTGCGCTCATTTCAAATAGTCTCGCGTCTATAAGTGGAGTCGATGTTATTTATTTGTGTTTTTTTTATAAATAAATTTATGTACTCTTGAACTTTTTTGTGTGTAGTTTTTGACAAATATATTTACGCTATATAAAGTGTGGGTCAGGAGGTAGCCAATTTAACTTTTTTTTTTAATTTAAAGAAAAAACTTTTTAACCGGATTAATGTTATGTATTATTATAAATTTACAACTATTTAACATCCAACACCTTTTGTCTTCAGTACCGTGACCACTCAGCTGTAAAGCACCCGAAAAGTCGGATAAATTTAAAATTATGGTAAATAGTTGTAAATAAAAAAGTCATGTTCGACTCCACTCAATACCTTGTCCTACCGACCACGGTCGGTCGTAAAATTTTATTGCTTTAAGTACGTATACACTGCGTTGTAATAACAACTTTAAGCAATTCGCGTAAGGTTATTTTGCAATAATATATGCTTGTAACATATACTGTTATGGACAGAAATAGTGTTTCGGGACACTTTCGAGCGTTACTTTTATTCGAGACTGTGCATCTTGGGTTTTTTGTATATCAATGTAGTTGCTCTATATATATTATATGATGTCACAAAAAACTTTAAAAGTTAGAGATACAGCTAAGACTATTAATAAGTAGTATTTTTTTAAATCTACTATGTAATTTTGACCAGTGTTGGCCTAGTCTTCAGCGTCCAAAGCTCGTCCCTGACGTTGTAGTTTCGATCCCCGGCTGAGCACCGATGGACTTTCTTGCTATGTGCGCATTAACATTCTCTCGAACGATGAAGGAAAACATCGTGAGGAAACCGGCTTTTAAAGGACCCAAAAAGTCGACGGCGTGTGTCAGGCACAGAAGGCTGATTTATTTTATGTATTTAATTTAAACGTTTTTAATATAAAGAAAACAAACCTAATGTAACATTTGAGTTACTAAATAGTATTTTGATTATTATATTTTTTGACTTTAAAAAAATCGCAATTTATTACAATATCAGTGACTGTTTCATTCAGAAACAAACTATGCGATTTAATAATTAAATCATGCCATCGCGTCCAAGCACCCGAATGGAAAAGGAATCAGTTGAAGTAGCCTTCATGCCAATGTCCTCTCCCATCAAAATGAAATCTGCTGATATAATCAGCATCCCAATATCCTCTATCTTTAGAGATTTTTTAAAAGTAGAGAATATAACCTATTTGAACTTTATTAAGTTAAATATTCACCTCCCCACTGCGAGTTCCAGTTCTTTGTAAGATCAACACCAACTGCGGAGCCTGTAGGTCGTCGATTCTTCGCCCAAAGCCGGACCTGCAATATTAATGAATGTTTTACTTTGATCTCTATTGATTCTGACTTACTTTAATATAGCAGCTGGGGTACTGAGTAACTTCAATTCGTTTATAATATTCAGTTTACTTGAATTATTTCTTTGCCAAAATAACGTCAACAGTATGACGACGTTGGAGGAAGCGAAACTATTTAAAAGCCTGCCTCCGTCGATTACAAGTGCCAACAAAGTTGGCACCCTGAACTCCCGTTTGGCGTTGACTGTCAATAAATTATAGATTTTTTTGTTAAATTAAATTACTATACTTCATTCATTGTTGTTGTTTCTGTGTCTTTTTTTTTGTGTGGTGTGTAACTGTTAATAGTGAATGACAACAAATCAATCATATTTTATTATATTTGTGTTTATAAGTTATATCAAAAATTAAGATTCTATAATCATGTTGAGGAATGTTCTTTAAAAATTATCTTAGCTTTAGGTTTCAAGTACACCGAAGGATATATTAATTATACATACACGTACCATATATTACACTTTATAATTCACTCAACCCACTATCAGAAGCAGTGAAAGGTTGAGAAAAACAATTATAATAAACAATGACGAACGACCGAACGAACGAAAGACACGAACGAACGAACGAACGACCGAAAGAACGAACGAAAGAACGAACGATGAACGATTATTATGATTTATAATAATATTTATTATTACTATGTAGGCTAAGAAAATTGTAAATACTGTATTTTAATAAACAACTTTTTAATATTACTCACAGCATCATTGGTGTATTCGTGTCCATCAGGGTTCACCATTGGGAAAATATGCCATTCGAAGTCCTGCGAAGCTGCTAACGCTTCGGGGTCTTCACCCTTAACGAGCTGGTCAACCAGGTATGTAACGACGGTTGGAGAGAGCCAATCCGCGCCGATCTGCCCTCCTTCTATCATAAATACCTTTCTACCGGATCTCCTGGATATTTTGACACCAGTGATGTTTCTACCTGAAATTTTAGTGTCAAAAAGGATCAAATATTTTTCCGTGAATCAAACCACTTTTTTTTCATTGTACTTATACTAATAGTCTTTAACAAAGGCTTGTATGATCTTTAATTTGCTGCTTTGCTTTATTCCATGGGATTCCGATGAATCTGGTGCCGCAGGCTGCACCACATATTCTCAAGTTATCAACGACTAAGCTACTTAGTAAAATAATCAGTTAAATATGTATAAATTATTGATTGTTTATGTTAGCAACGTTTTTTTTAACGATTTTGATATTTTTTAATTTGTGGAAATAACAGTTAACAGAAGTTGTCAGTAGTACAATCATGAACTTTATATTACCTTCATATGAAGTTCCCGCATGAATTATTGACACTATATTACTATGTGTTTCAGCTAAATAGTAGAACCACTTATAAATATCTTCCAATGTTTGATAATTTGTCCAGTACATCTCATTTCTTACATCGCGTTTCTTTCTCCATATGATTTGGTCATCTAAGAGCTCTAAAATAAAAACAGGGATAAACCAGAATAACGTTATTGTTAAGTTTATTATCTATATAATTTACATAACTTGACTCGATAGCCCTTCAGGCACGCAATTTATCAGATCTGTGGCCAAGAAGCTGAGCAGCAGGGGAGTATCTAATTCCTTTCAAAGGGACTTTGTTTCGTGGGTTTGGCGTTTCCCACCGAGCCCGGGCGACAATTGCTCCAGAAATATCCTCATGATATTTATGGGCGAGTCATGCGGTCTCCGACCCAACAGTCAAACTAATTGACATGCTAAGAAAAGCAATCGAAACAAGTTATATTATATTTGTAAATTATTTATTTGTCTTAACTTTATATGTTACGAATGATGTGGTGTCATTGCGACGAAACTGCAGATTTAGGAACCAGAAATTGACTGATCATATTTGGCACAGAAGGCTCACCACATAGTTACTAAAATAATAATGATAAAGAAAACAGATTCAATATATAAGGCCAAAAAGCTGGGTATTTTGTGGTTTAAATTGATCCATTATGGCGATGGTCATCCGACCCCAGTTCCTCAAGCGATTAAAACTTTTAAATTACATAAATTGTAAGGTCACAAGTAATAAAACTTTAAAATTGTCCAACTAACTTTAGCCAGATGTAATCACTTTAATCTTTAGTTCAATTTTTGCAGTTGGAAAAGTTACTTTTCTTTGAAATCGTGATGACACCTTGGAAATTTTTAATGAAACTCTGAGTGATTTATCTTTAATCATTATGTAATGAAATATTATTTTCGTTACTTTTACTAATTTCAAGAGCATTGACGTATTTATTGTCTATAAATAGTTTATAAATTAATGGTTTAATTTTAATAAATCAAACAGATTTACAGCAAGAGCAACTTATGCTTATTCTCACGATATATGTTTAAAGATACGTTGGACGTCACTTAAGCATGTTGCTCCTGTCAAGCTGAGATTGTAGTACGCCCTTGGTCTTACGCCAGTAAGCCAGGTAAGTACGTGTAGATTACTTTGTAAACGAAAAGGCCAAAGTGTAAGGCTGTTTTTTTTAATGCGGATTGGAGTTCGTTTTTATTTAAAAATAATTGTAAGGCCGTTGTACAACACACATTAAAAACCCTGCGTGCAAATATGATGTTAGTAGTCTTTGTCCGATTTAAATTCAAACAACTGAAAAGTGTAATTATTATGCAAGGTGCAAAGGTAAATTATAAAAATAATTTATAATACTTTCCTTTCAGTAGGAGTACAGTTTTCATAGACAAACAACTGAAAACAACAAACGCTGAAAGAAGACAAACTGAGAAAAAGTTATAAGAAGTTCCGGAGATTAGTGCGTTCAATTAAACAAACTCTTCTCTATTATATTGGAAATGATTTAGCATCTAATTTTACTTGATAATCATATTTTTAGTTTGTGATCTACATAGTACATACCTACTTAAAAAAATATTGTTCAAAGGTTAAAAGTTGTAAATGGTAATCGGCAGAGTACCTTTTATGCAGAATTTCCTCCCTGTCTTGCAATACATGTGCTAAAAATTATTACATAAAACTTACTGTTGTATGTCCTGTAGCATAACTTCATATGTGACACTTCTCTTCTTCAGGGAGTGCTCGAACTCTATACGTTTTGCCGGCGAAGCGACGACACTAACATATTCGTCCTTCCGAACTGGCGGTATCCAAAAATCCAATCCATCCGATTCTTCATACAGATCTCTCAAAAAGTCCACATGATCCTCTGCACTTGGGTGTAGTTTGTATAAGGCATAATTATCATATCTTACTTTTTCTGCTAAAACAAAAGGTAGAACACCAATTAAAACTAATTTTAGTAACATTTTGCTAAACGTACTACAGAGTTAATTGATTCTACTCTAGTATCAAATGCTTCAATATTAATTTTATAATATCAATAAATTTTGGACTTTCAAATTGGTACGTTAAGTTTATTATTGCTTGTGTATTATTTTGTTGATAATTTGATATCTAATCACATTCCTACTTCGATTATTTCGATATAATTGCTATTTGAAATGATAATATTGTTGATTTTAGGTTACGGTTGTTAACCGAAAAAACATAGCTATATCTTTTTTATAGAACAAGGGGAAAACGGGCTCGAAACTTACCAGATGGACACTCACATTGCCAGAACGCCCGAAAGTTCCCTTGGACCTAAAGTCGAATGGGTTCGGAAAATACTTCAGTAGGTAGCTGGTTCCACATAGTGGTGGTGCGCGGCAAAATGCCTTAAAAAACGCTCAGTTGTGGAACAACCGACGTTGAAATGATACGGGTGAAATTTCGTTTTCTGATTTCGTATATGAAACTCATCTACATGGTTTATTCCGAACAACAATAGTATTATATACTGCTCAAAACAATTAGCGGAACAAGATTTTTCTCCTTTCTATTGCTTAAACTAAAATTAGATTTAAATTAACTTGTACTATTTTTACATTTTTTTTTGACCCGATTTTTTTAATGCAAGATAATCAGGCCGCATACTGCAGCCATCACATCAGATTACTTACGACAGCAGGAAATCCTGTAATGGAGTGGCTTAGAGCCTACTAAATCCAATTGAACACATTTGGGACTTCTTACAGGGATGGAAGCGTCCGATTGCACCTCAAAACTGCAGAGCTCACCTGCATAGAGGTTGATTGAAGAATGGGAGCGAATTCCACAAGAAGATATTCGGAGGATCATACGAAGCATGCCGCGTCGTTGTCAAGCCGTGATCAGGGCTCATGGAGGCCACACACGTTACTGAAAGTCACTAAAGACGAATATTCAAACGATATAAGAATATTTCTTTGATGGACCTTTTTTATCACCAATTAGTTTTTCGTCTACAATGCACATTTTAATTTTTTTTTAATAAAAAAAATACAAATTGATTTTTTTTATTAATTGTAGTAATTAACAAATTAACAAGGTAAAAAATAGCGTACAAGTTAATTTAAATCAAATTTTAGTTTAAACAATAGAAAGGAGAAAAATCTTGTTCCGCTAATTGTTTTGAGCAGTATATATATTCGCAAGGTTGCCTTAACAGTTATTTAAACAAAACTTGCCAATATCAATTAGCTTCGGCAAACTTTAAAACAATATTTCGCCAAGTTCTTTAAATCATGAAATTGCTAAATAGTCTTAGATATTATCACAGCCGAGGAATCGAACCTACGTCCTCGGGGATTAGAGTGACACGCTGAAGCCACTAGGCCTACACTGTTCTAAATTAAAATTATGCATATTGTTTTGCTTGTGATGATAAAAACTATGGAATAGTCGTTTTTGTATTTTTAAGAAACGAGAACCAAATACCATTTAACATTAAACCAAACGACTGCAAGAAATTGCAAACAAATTCTTCAACGCCACCATTAATTTGCGGCAAAAATAAAACCTGACGTCAAAACTTCAACAGTTAAAAATGAGGCGCTACCGAACCGTTGCTAATTACTGCAAGCAATCAATCTTTTATTCGCTAATTGTCGATGTGGCTACATTTGACAGTCCTTAATTACGATGAATAAGTCCATTACCGCGTTATTAAGTTAATTAAGAAATATTTCGTCGTTCATTCCCATTTGTTATATCACGCTATATATAATAGAGTGACAATAATAGTTTTATTACACAAAAAAACATGGTTGCTATTCGTACAGCTAGTAGCTGCTAGCTCACTCTAGGGACATCCAATTTAATATGAAAAGAATATATAAATGTTACATAAACTTTCAGTACGTACACATACAGAATGTATGTTAGTATTTGTTTGTATGAGAAGTACATCAGTGTGTATGTGCACGCGCATTGTTTTGCGCTGTTATTAAACTGGTAAAAATAAGTGTTATTAAACTTAAACAAATTTTAATTAATCTTCTGCATTGCTTTTAAACTTAGTAATATAGAGTTTGAAACGAATAACAAAAACTACTTTAATTAACGTTGTCTCACATTATTTCAAATAATTACTCAGCCGGCACCGCTAATAATAATAACATATATATAGAGTAATGTTACTCTAAGTAATTAATTAATGTATTATTTATTTATTTATAGCATACATAAGCCTTTGTTATACCCCCATAACCTTCACAAATAGGTCGCTCTGGAGAAGAGTTGCTGCGAGAGCAAAATCAAAATAAAATTAATTTATTCAGTTGACTCACATGATCACTTTGAATTGTCAAACGATGCCTGTTCGGAATCGCGACCAGCACACAAGGAAAAAGGCAAGAACCTCGGGCTAGATTTTTTTGATCTTCTTAAGTTATTTACAATGCTTATATTAGTTACAATTAAATTAAATAGCCGGAGCAAATTATTTATATTATTCAATCCAAGCTTCCTTATCTTCTAGGTAATCGGATTTTTTATAATAAGCTTTCCTAGAGAGCTTCTGTTTTATAATTTTCTTAAATTTATTATTTGACAATTTTAACTCATCACTTGGTAGTTTATTAAAGAAGCCTATAGTTTGACCTATGAATGATTTATTATCTTTATGGAGCCTAGGGAACAACGATTTTGTTCTTATTTCAAGTGTTATATATAATATGATTGTCACAATTTTTTTCAAAGAAGTGTATGTTTTTATGTGCATATCGACGTAGGAAAGCATATTTGCTGTAAGTAGACAAAATACCTAAAGTGATTTTTTCCTGCCATTAGAATCAGAAAAAAAGCCGCATCGAATGACCTGGGTCCTGTGTCTCTACGATGAAAAAAAATTACATACGCCGTTGAAAACGCCCGTACTTATATTATTTTTAGCAAGATTAAATGCTGTAGTAGACCAAAATCTAGTCATTTCAGACATTTTGCACTTACAGCAAAAGAAAATCTGCATTTTTTTACAAATACTTACTTCTTCCCATTTAAAAACTTAACGCTACTTACAGCATTTCAGCGGCGTGTGATTTTTACATTCGTTTACTTACAGAAGTTTAGGGAACCTAATTTGTTTTTTTACCATTTACGACATTTTATTTCAACCAAACATTACATTACCAAAGACCACGCATTTCTAGATCTAATCATAATTATAAACTAACTTACATCTTGAATTGCAATTAAAAGTACCCAAATACAAAATTTCCTGCATACAGCATATTACCGCCTGTAAATTGATAATATTTCCGGGTACATTTTCTTCCTTAGTTACAGCGTTTTAAAGGTTGGATTTAAAAACTGTTTGCTGTAACTAGCAAACACGTACTATAGTAATTTGGATAAAAAGTTTACATTGCAAATGGTGACTGGCAGTTAAATAAATATATGTTTCAAAAATGGTAGAATATCATGGAAGGAGACACTATTAATTTTTTTCCGAAATTAATAAAGTTTTTTGGCTTGGTGAAAATGCAAATACTTACAGCAAATGTGCTTTCCTGTGAGTCACCGTATAATTGTAAACACCGTTAGATTGTAATCTATCTCGCGACATTGTAAACTGTCGAAAGATTGTGAACCTCAACGAACTGCTTACAATTTAACGTATTATTCGGTAGATTGTAATCTATCGAAGTGAAACCGTCAAATTGTGAAACGGATCGCACCTTGCGCGCTGATTGGTTGAACAGAATATGCCCCGCGCCACCATATTTGTTTGTTAATTCGTTTGTTGTCGAATGTAAATTAATTGTTTTGATGAATGTAAATTGATGTCGTGTTGAAAGTAACTCAAAGTTAAATATGTATTTCCTTAAACATATTTTTTTGTGACTCTCTGAGACCCATTTTGTAAGCAAGGGGCAAGGTACGAGTTGAATACACAGCACAGGGTATGTTTCCGGCATCGTATTTTTTTTTTTTTTTTTTAATTTGTATTCACCTCGCTTCAAGTCTTTCCGGCTCTCTTTGCCTCATCTGCAACTGTACGGCGCCAGGTTTGCCTGACGGCCACACTTCCGCTTTACTTGAGGTTTTCAATCAAGCGCCTATTTGGGATCCCTTCGGAGTGTATGGCCTATCCAAACACCGTACGAGCCGTATGAATTCAAAATTTCATCAAAATCACCTTAATGGCTAAGTCTTCCACAGGCCGTTTCACAAGGCATTTTCTTTTGCGAACTAGCGACCAGTGGAGTTGAATCCCGGTGGGGGTCTTCCCAAAAGAGATACGACCTCCAACTATTCAAAATAGAGGCCGGCAACGCACCCACTCTAAATGGGTGTCTATGGGCTGCGATGACTACCCTTTTTGGGCGTCCGGCAGGCTCGTTTGCCCCCCCTATCATATATATAAAAAAGTATGAATGAAATAAAAATCCTTACCTTTAGTAATAAACTTTTATTTTCTGTATTTACAAAAATTAACACAAATTACAAAGCTTAACGTCCGTTTTACAGCGATTACGACTATTTAGGGGATAGATTCGCTAATGGCATTCCAATTCGGTATCTAAATGCAATTGCACGGCTAATTAGCGTACAATGAAACTTGCTGCAATTCACTGGTTACTAATTCACATTGTGTAGCTAGTATTTAAGATTCTTAAGTCAATTTTTATCTTCCTCAGTCGCAGTCTTTATGTCTGAAGGTCGTGTTAGTGGCCGCACAACTTCCTCCACTTTCCCTTGTCTTCAGTAAGCCTCTGCACCTGGGTGATGGTAAGATCCGTAAGGGTTTTTACTTGATTGGTCCAGCGAGTTGGGGATCGGCGTCGAGATCTGGTGCCCACTCTGCCAGTCACGATCAGTTTTTCTAGGCTTTCTGGATCTCTGCGTGTTACATGGCCGACAAGCTTAAGTTGCGTTGGTAACAAAGTGTAGAAAGACGATTTTTTACTTGTAACCGTCTTAGTATGGACACACGTTTGTTTCC